TCTAATCAGTAGGAACAGCTTAAATTCTCTCTGATTGAAAGCTCTGCATGACAGTTCTACTCCAGGTGAATGTGGCCATAGTAGAATGACAAGCACACAATGGCAGGAAGGAATAAATAAGGCAAAACCTGGTGGGTAGAAAAGAAATAAAAGTACAAGGGACCAAGCAGAATAGTTCTAAGTTTGCTTACTGCCTGTGGCTACCCACCACGGATGCTGCCATTCTCTGAGTATGCTTGCTATGAGAGCTTCGTGCATCTCAGTACAGCTGAAAAGGGGGTTGGCTTGCAGTTTTCCAAAATATATAGCCCCAGATAAATGTTCATTCATGTGTGCGAGTTCTATTTGTTCCCCCCCCCCCGACCATATAGAGAACTTGTTCTTTGATTAAAAAGGGCAAATAAGGGTGACAAGAATAATCAGAAATGGGTTTTATGGGTCTAGAGTGATAGCACAGCAGGGAGGGTGTACCCAGCCGACCTGGGTTCGATCCCCGGCATCCCATATGGTCCCTCAAGCACCACCAGGAGTGACTCCTGAGCATTGCTGAGTGTGCCCCCCTCTCCCCCAAAAAATCTAAAAAAAATGGGTTTTATTCTTCTTAGCTCTAAGAAAGAAAAAAGAGCATCAGGGCTATTATTCTAAATGCTGTCACTCTTGATTTCAAACAACAAAAATGGGGATGCTCTCATTTCACCTGTAGCGAGGCTGTCTGTTGACAAGTTGGTTGTCTTTCCTTATCCAGAGAGTATCATGTATTATATCCAAATTTTGGCATTGTTTTTTGATAAAAATGCTAAGATTTTAGTTGTCCATGTACCTGTGGTTAGAACATGTACTTGCTAATAGATGTTAATAGACCTGTTCTCATTTGGCTAAAAATCAGAAGTCTAAGCTGAATGATTTTGCTTTGTATTTATCAAAATGTAAGGATTATTATGTTGTGTTTGTTTTTTGAGCCACGTTTGGCTATGCTTGGGGCATACTCCTGCCTCTGTGCTCAGGGATCACTCCTGCCAGGGCTCAGGGGACCACAAAAAAGTGCCTGAGATCAAACCCAAGCCAGCAACATGAATCGCAAACACCTTACCAGCTGTCCTATCTGGCTCCAGGACTATTTTTAGCCTTTAAATGTTTATCTGTGTATTGTGCGGTGTTGGTGATCAAACCCAGATGTCACACATGGAAGAGCGTGTCGGTTACCACTGAGCCACATCCTCCAATCCTCAGCCACACTCACAAGTGCTCTCTCAAAAAAAGACAAAGCCCTGTTCAGTTTGCTCTTATGCAATGCTCTGATTCTTTTGTTTTGTTTTGGGCTACAACCAGAGTTACTCAGGGGCTGTTCCTGGCTCAGTTTCTGGGGGGTTGCTCCCAGTGGGGCCCAGGGGACCATCTGGTGCCAGGGAACAAACCCAGGAATTTCTCAATGCAGAGCACATACCCAACCTATTGTGTTATCTCCCTGGGCCCCCTCATTCCCTTTCCTCCCCCTTTAACTCTGCCCCCGCCCCTTTTCCTCCTTTGTGCTAATACATTTTCCAATTTCCAGATTTTGTGGGTCATCCTCAGTTTCCTGTTCTTGAGCAGTTCCCTTAGTTTTCTTTCCTCCTTGGACTTCAGTTCCAGTCAGAGACCCTTAACTGTCACTGTTTTCTCTGTTCCAGCCACCAGGTCTAGTGCCCTCTGCCTACCTTGGTCTCCTTGAGTCATCAAAACCAAATCTCTCCATGTTCCCCGCCAAGCATTAACCCCCTTTCCTTGAAGGCCAAGAGGGGCACACATCCGGCAGTGCTCAGAGGCTTCTGTGCTCCTGGGGGATTCCCAGAGGAGTTTGGACCTTGGGGCAGCATGGGGAACATTCTTTCCCCTCTGTGCTTTTTACTTTTAAAATGCATATGTGCATTCTTCTAGGAGAAAGTCGTGCAGCTTTTGTCAGCATAAGATCGTCACTTAGGGGGCTGGAGCAATAGTATAGTCGATAAGGCATTTGCCTTGCTTGTAGCCAATCCGGGTTCCATCCGTAGCATCCCATATGGTTCCCCAAGCACTACCAGGAGTAATTTCTGAGCGCAGAGCCAGGAGTAACCCCTGAACATCGCTAGGTGTGACCCAAAAATGCAAGAAAAAAAAAAGACTGTCACTTAAAGCTGCACAGACTGTCAGCTTTGTGGCTCTGCCTTTTCCCATCCCTTCTTTTCTAGGTTTCTCCTTTAGAGGGATCCGCCTCCATCCCTCAGAGCTCCCTAACATAGTCCAGTCAGTCCTGGATTCCTCTGCAATCTTGCCAGAGCCTCATTTCCTTTTTCCATATACTTTGTCCAATTCATCTCGAGTTGGACGTTGTTCTGGTGAACTCAGTAGGTGATGGGGAACGCTACGGCCTTCCCTTTCCTGGCCCTTGTGGATGAAGGTGGCCCATCTTCACAGTTGCCTTTGCATGAGGAACCCCTCCGCTCACCATTACAAACACGTTGCTGACTCGGTATGTCTGGGATCTCACTGGGATCTTCATTCTTTCCCCACCCCCCGCCCCAAACTAAACAGGGCGTCCCACGCATTAATGTACAGCTGGTCGGCAGATCCCAGGCTGGGACTCTCTGCTCCCTTGCTTACACCACAGCTCAGCTGCTTCCCAGCCTCTCAGCCCTTTGAATCTTGGCTTGTGCATTTTTCTGTTTCTCCTTCCTTTGCTCTTCGCTTAGTTCACCACCAAAGTGATCCCTTGCAAGAGCATTCCTTGTCTTGGATCTGGTACCTCCTTTCCTTATAAAATCAAGAGTTGGCTTATTTCAAACCATCATCTCATTGGGTTTTAGCTTTACCTTCTTCCTACATATCCTGACTCTTTTTTGACTCATTTTTGAGAACTGCAGTTAAGTTTTAGATTAAATTCTCAAAAACAGGTATCATACAATGCTTCTAGGAGACAAACACCAGTATTCATTTATAACCAAGGAATATCAAATGATATGAGAATGGCAGTTATCGTATGATTAGAGAATTTCTATACTGTTTAATGGATCATTTTAGTGAGTTTTAAATTTTTTATATTTAAAAAGTGTATTGGACTGAGTTTTGTATCTTAAAATACTGATTTACAAATAGGTATGAGTAAAGAACTATTAAATAATGCTTAAGTGACTTCTCTCTGGGTCAGTTAAAATTAAGCATAAGGAAAACTTTTTAAATTGTTATTCTTTAAAATGGAGAATTGGAGGGAGAATATTTTAACTTAAGTTTTTTTTTATTAAGTAGATCCAATAAATATACAGTCAACTCTCGATTATTTAAATTTACGGAGGGAAGGATGGAACAAAAATTCCTATTTCTCTGGTCCCTGTGCCCTCAGACAGTTGCTGAGAATCTCATTTCAAACAAAACCTTTGCCTTTCCATCTCGATCATGCTATATCCAGGATGCAGTCTGAAATATGGCTTACAATTGAGTTGACAATTAAGTTTTATGTTATCACATTCTGTTCTTTTTATATATGTATTTAAAAAATCAGTGCACTAGCATTACTTTTTTACTATTAAAATTCACATGAGAATTCGATGATATTGCTATAGGAATATAATCCTGATGGCTCATAAAATTAGCTTTATATAGAAAATCTTATCTTTGAATTATAAATTACAGGTAATTGTAGCCTTTTAAAAGCATTACCTCAGTACCAAGTGCTTTTAAACTGTTTTTAATTTAAAAATTTTATGAGCATTTTTATATTGAAGCATCTTTGCTAAAACTTCTTCCAGCTTTTAAAATTCTTAATTCTCAATATTCCTAAGTACTATGGAAGTGTAAAGAGAAAAAATACTGAAGGAACTTATGCATGAAAACATTATGTTGTGTGTATATAATACATTGTTTTCTTGACCAATTACCTGCACTCCGTGTGCTATTATCCAGAAACGAGCATTTGTGGGAATGCGTGTATCTGGATAACTGAGTTGAAATAAACACACCTGACTTTTATTTCAATAACTACACATTCAAATCTGCATACAACATCTATTTGAATGTGACCTCTACATAATTGAGTAAACATTGGTTTCAGTGTTTGATTTTTTTGTTGTTGTTGTTGTTTTTGTTGTTGATTTTAATCTAAAGTAGGTAAAACCTTAAGATAAAGCTTCTTGGGAAACTGCATGCAGAGAAAAGGAAATTCAAAGGTAACTCCTCTGAAAAAAAAATTTGAATTGTTTTTTTTTCTTATTCTCTTGTGCCCTAGAGTGTATTGGAGCTACACTGTAGCAGTGCTTAAAAGCCAAAGTTTGTACTACCCATAAACTAGCCTGTGACTGTGTTCCCTTTATGTTTAAAAAACAAAATTTGTTTTTTAATAGAATAAAAAGCATTGGTCTTTCATTTGGTGATTCCTTTTGTTTCTAAGAAATTATTTCTTTGCAATTGTATTTTAGAATATGAGATTTAAGAAATCACGATCCTTTTTAGTTTGCTTTTGGTTTTTTGGTGTGTTTTGTTTGTTTGTTTTTTTTTTTAATTTTATTTTGGCTCATACCCCACTACTCATTGAACAGTGCTTGGGAGTTGCTCCTTCCAGTTTCCGGGCCATGGGGTCAATGCAGAGCAAACTCATCACCCCTGTGAGCCGGTCTCCCTTGCCCAAGAAATCATGTTTCCTACTAGACAGTAGGAATGCTTATGACAAGACTTGCTTTAAAGTCTACTTTTCCTCCTTCTCCCCCATGTTTAGGTCCTATGTCTGTATAGATAGTTTTCACTAGCATGAATCAGAAAATTGAATTAGGATTTTGTTAAGAGACTGAACTTTGAATTTCCTACCTTTCATTGCATGTAAACTATCCAACACATATAATAGTTTCAGTTCAAGTTCGAGCTTGTTGTGCATGTTGAAGCTATAAAAAGTCTATTAATGCTAGAGGGAAATCAGCTTTTGTTCCACTGTTGCCTTAATTGTCGAAGTTATAAATAACGACTAATTTCATTTATGTAGATTTGTCTTTCTGTCTTAGGGAGTGAACTACTTTATGTCCAAGGGTATCCTGGATGATTCGCCAAAGGAAATAGCAAAGTTTATCTTCTGTACAAGAACACTAAATTGGAAAAAACTGAGAATCTATCTTGATGAAAGGTAAGGAGTATTTTGACTTTTCATCAGTAGCTAAATGATACTTTAAGTAAGTTTTACTCTTTGGTGGCAGGATGACTTCGAATTTTGGTTGTTGGTGTGTTGTAAACAGTCAAACTGAATTAAAAAGCTGGAAGGGAGGTCGGGATGGGGTGGGGGAGGCAGGCTCTTCCAGAGGGAAGGTTTCAAGCACCACATCAGTCAAGAAAAAAAAAAAGACTGCTCCATGGCAGGCATCCAGCTGCAAAATTAAGTAAAGTTAAGGAAAAGATTTCTATTCATTTCAAGTTATTTGTTTACAAGCTTTAAGTTGCTGATGAAGTTGGCTTTGTTTAAAAAAAAAAAAGTTGTTTTTAGCCCAGGTACAGATGCAAAATGGAACCCAGAATCTATGTAATTGCAAACACAAATCCACTACTTTTGAGGAAACCCTGTTTCTTAATGACTAGCCATAAAGATTTGGGTTTAGGTTAACTAAAAATTCTGAAACTTCATATTTTTTTAAAAGTCTTATTTAATTCAAATTACAGACATAAACTCATAAATCCTGAAGGCATAAGGTACTTTTGTATTTGTTTGCATGTAGATACTACATCAAAGTGCCACATATAAGTTTGAATTTCTAAGAATGTGTAATTTAATAGTGTATTGTACAATAGAGTGAATCCCTAATTCCCTAATTGTTTTAAGTGGACATAATAGTATTAGGATAACATTTGGATGTCACATCATTAAGCTACCTTGATTTCAGTGTTGATCTCATGCTAATCTAGCGAATAGTTCAAACACATGTTTACATTTTTATTGTGATTATTAATATTTAACTAATCAGGACTTTTTAACAACTGTTTACATTCATTGTAATCCAGGAATTTGCCATCGAATAAGGAGTACACCGTTCATTAAAGCACAAGCCCTGTCTTTGGGGGAGTTTAGATAGAGCACAGCAGCAAACTAGAAAGAAAAACATACATAAAGATACTGTCATTCACTCTTTTTTATCTCCACATGCTAAGTACCAAATGATCAGCATCACATTTTTCAGTAAAGATTCAGTAAAGAACCAACTCTTTCATGTTTGTTCTCTCTGTGTCTGTCTGTCAGTCTGTCTGTCTGTCTGTCTGTCTGTCTCTCTCTCTCTCTGTCTCTCTCTCTCTGTTTCTGCCACTTGTAACTTCCATTGTTTGATAAAAGAAGACAGGATGTAAACAAACAGCTTTGGCTTGACTTTATGTTAATAGTTTACAAAACAGGTACTAGTCTTGTCTGGTCCACTAAATGTAGTTTTTGTATCCCTTCTATAAACAAATGGTAGAAATTAAAGATTTTTCATGCAATCATGGTTGAACTTAGAAGAGTCGAAGTATTTTATAACAAAGTATTATTATTAGAATTTTCTTGATGAAGAAGTATTCATAAATTTTTAAAAGTTACATCGCAGTTGTTATTTCTGGTTATGTGGATTGATATGAAAGATGAGGACTCTCCTTATTTTCATAATGAAAAAAATTATAAAGAATTATGTTTCTTACTTAATTTAGCCAAGCAGATGCTTAGGAAGAAATGACTCTTTTTTACACTGAAACCTTCATTTTTATTTTAATTTATGGTTATAGCTACTAATTTCAGTTTACCCAGGGGAAATTTTTGAAGATTTAAGAATTATGTATGCCTTATATGCTGACTAATGTGGCAAATAATAATAAAATATTTCCATCCCAAAAAATGACTGACTTTTCTTATGAATCTTTTTAATAGAGAAAGGTAAACTAAAGCTGAGTCTTTCTCTTTTCTCCTAGGAGAGATGTCTTGGATGACCTCGTAACGTTGCATAATTTTAGAAATCAATTCTTACCCAATGCACTGAGAGAATTTTTTCGTCACATCCATGCCCCTGAAGAGCGTGGGGAATATCTTGAAACTCTTATAACGAAGTTCTCACATCGATTCTGTGCTTGTAACCCTGATTTAATGAGAGAACTTGGCCTTAGTCCTGGTAAGAAAATAGTGAATTATTTTCTTTTCCCACTCCACCTTCAGGTAGAAATAGGCATATAGGAGACTTTTTCTTTTTCTCACTGCAGGGAAAAGCACTGCCAGCATTTGCAGATACTTGTTTTATGACTTCTAGCAGTGATGATGGATGCTAGTTTTCTTAGCTATCATTTATTTATGGAAAGCATTCTGCCTTGGGAGAAAAGACAGTTTTATCAGTTCCTTAAAATTAGCCTTGTTTGAGTATCGGATGTTTTTTGTGAATCTAACTACTAACAATTTGAGAATTTTTTTTCAATGTTTTGGATAAGGCACTTTTTACTTAGAACTACCTCGAACTTCTATACACTGCTTTTTTGGCTTACTTTATATACGTATTTTTGTAAGTGCTTTATTATTTTGGGTGCTGAAGGAACTCGGGATGGTGGAGCTGGGAATTAACTCAGTGCCTCAGCTGTAGGGCATGTGCTCTGCATCTGCTCATTTCCCTCACCTACAATGTGTTTTCAGTACAACTAGTTTTATTGCGTGTTTGTGTTTATGTATGTGTGTATGGTACAGTCAGGTCCCCTAAAATTTTCTTTCACATAATCAAATTTTACTCATTTCACCATATCGAAAATAGTAAAGTCTGAAATAGAAACTCCCCCCAGCCCCCTAAATATAATTTTTTTAAGTAAAAACCATAGCAAGTAGGGGGTCAGAGAAATAGTACAGCGTGTTGAGTGCTTGTCTTACACACAGCTGACCAGGATTCTATTTCCAGCATCATATTTGGCTTTCTGAGCCCCACCAGAAGTGATCCCTGAGCACAGAACCAGGAGTAATCTCTAAACCCCACAAGGTGTGACCCAACCCCCCAACTCCCAGTTCCCAAAATAGTACCAAAAAGAGATAAGAAGGATGGGAAAGAAAAAAAACCCAAGGGTGGGAGTAAGTGGAACACCCAAGATAAGCAGCAGGGGGTAGGGGGCCTTTAGCGCACGCGGGGTGTAGAGGGGAGATGCATGTCTATATAGAATCTGCAGTCAGAAATGCTGAGAGCAGGACACCCAAACTCCAACAACCGAACCTAAAAATGTTCCTGTCAAACAGGCAGGCTGGGATGGAAGGGAACCTCGGGAAACTGGTGGTGGGATTGGTGCCGGGACATTGTATGCCTGAATGTCAACTAAGAATAACTGTGTAAATCAAAGTGCCTCAATAAAACATTAATTGACAAAAAAAAAGTAGCAAGTATTAAGTAGCTATAACAAGTATAACTAGCAATTATCATGTTTGTTAGTTTTAATACTTACACATGATCTATTGTCCTGACCATAGATAAACAAAAAAATTGGGTTTCATTGTGTTTATATTTTGGCATCTTTAAGGACTCAAAGAAGATCTTAATTTAATAATCCTGTGAGTTTTTGACAGCTTACTTTTATTACCAGCATAGTACTTCTTGCCATTATAGATGATCTCAACTTAGTATTAATATGCACTGCACTGTAGCACCGTCCTCCCATTGTTCATCGATTTGCTCGAGCAGGCTCAGTAACGTCTCCATTGTGAAACTTGTTACTGGTCTTGGCATATTGAATACGTCACGGGGAGCTTGCCAGGCTTTGCTGTGCAGGCAAGATACTCTCGGTAGCTTGCCGGGCTCTCCGAGACCCACTGTGCTATCGCTCCAGCACAGCGGGTAGCTCTCCAGGCCTCAGCACCACACTTTCACACTTTCACTTTTAACCCATTCTGCCAACAGCAAAGTTGGGAGTGACCTGCCTCAAGTTCCCTAATACTGCTGGGGAGACCCCCAAGAAAACAATGATAATAATAAGCCTATCAGAAATTCTAAGTGTTAGAATGGATTTTTGTTATAAGTTGCTAAAGCTGTTTCAAAGTCCTTTGAAGGGGTCAGAGAGATAGTACAGCAGGGAGGGCATTTGCCTTGCACACAGTCAGCCTGGGTTCAATCACTGGCACCCCATGGGATCCCTGAGACCTGCTAGGAGTGATCCCTGAGCACAGAGCCTGACATAAGCCCAGAGCACAGCTGGATGTGGCCCAAAACCAAAAAATAGATGATATAGATAGATAGATAGATAGATAGATAGACAGACAGACAGACAGACAGACAGACAGAGTTCTTTGGAATTAAAAAAAATACGTTCGTATTGAATTCTAATGATTCGTTATCCATTTGCCCATTACTACTGACTCTCTTTGTCAGGCTGGAGTGATAGTGCAACGGATAAGGCATTTGCCTTGTACGTGGCCGACCCGAGTTTGATTCCTCCGCCCCTCTTGGAGAGCCCGGCAAGCTACCGAGAGTATCTCGCCCGCACGGCAAAGCCTGGCAAGCTACCCGTGAGGTATTTGATATGCCAAAAATAGTAACAACAAGTCTCACAATTTGTTGTGAGATGTTACTGGTGCCCGCTCGAGCAAATCGATGAACAACAGGAGGACAGTGCTACAGTGCAATGCTACTGACTGTCTTTGTTAGAGCAGGGGCAGACCCAGGCAAAGTGAGATTATGGGCATAGGGACACCTTATACTCAGTCATGATCTAATCTTGAGATGGGGGACATTTTAATGGTGGCCCTTTATCTTTGGGCACCATATAATGCCTTTGGAACAAATGTATGTATTTTAAAAATCAAGTTGGGGCGGGAGGACAGGGGATGCCATATAAATGGTGCTCAGGTGGCCCCGGGGCCACTCCAGTTCTCAGTCAGCTGGGCCACATGTTCAGTCCAGGAGCCTGAGGATTAGGTGCTGGAGGGCCCCGTGTGCCAGGAATTTCTGGGGCTGCCCTAGAGGTGCTGGGGGAAGAATCTTCAGGGCTGCACATGGAGGGGCCCAGTTGATGCCAGGTTGAAACTGGGGCGAGCCACGTGCCAGGCATGTGCTAGGCTATCTCTCTGCAGCCCCAGCCCACATTTCTAAAGCCCCCCCTCCCAATAATTTGAAATCCTCCCTTTTTCTTGCAGATGCTGTCTATGTACTGTGCTACTCCTTGATCCTCCTTTCCATAGACCTCACTAGCCCTCACGTGAAGAATAAAATGTCAAAGAGAGAATTCATCCGAAACACCCGACGCGCTGCTCAGAACATCAGTGAAGATTTCGTAGGGCACCTCTATGACAACATCTACCTTATCGGCCACGTGGCTGCCTAAAAGCACAAGTGCTCGGACTTTGGACTTCTGTCTTCAGACTAAAGGACTCTTCTGCAGATACGTGCTTCCCTTAGTGCTGGGCATGCCAGCCTCTGTATACAATCAAGCTTGAGTGTACAACTTTTTTTTTTCCTTCTCACCGTTTTATTTTTTAATAATTTCCTTGGGGAACTAAAGAATATTGCAGAATTATTCTTAATTTTGCTCATCATGTTTTGCACAAAGCAGAGCCATTGTCTGACATGGCTATTTAAGAATGTTAAACTGATAAGATAGGAGATGGTATATTTGTGCATTAGATTTGCCTGAAAAACTTTACTCATTTTCATTCTTTTTTAAAATTCCATGTAATGTGTACATATTTAACTAAAGAGATTTATAATCATAATTATTTTATTGTAAAGATTTTAACTAAAATCTTTCATTTTCTCTCAAACTGAGTGCTGAAATTTATTTGATCCTGATCTATGATTATTATTGTCCTTGACCAAATAACTTCAGATGAAACCAATACCAGTGTCTCTTTCCTTTGGACTTTGAAAGGAGTATTGATTTGTTGCTACATTACTATGCAAAACCGACACATACATGTTCATACTTAGCTCTTCATTTTTTAAATTTCTGGGTTAGCCTGATCTTAATAAATCCTTGAAATCATTTTGGAAGGCAAGATACGTTAAGGTAAGATTTCCATCCATAAGAACAAACAGTAATCGGTCTTTGCTTATGTACAAATGAGTTAAACTCTTAGTCTGATAATTTTTGATCATGTCTGATCAGTTAAGAGTGCTGTGAATGATTGTTTAGATTATTAATTCTAGATCATTAGTCCATTAATTCATCCCATAAATTCTTGCCAAGGAACTTAAAGTGCTAAGCATTGTGGTAAGGACTTGTGCTATCTAGACATGAGCATTACCTCTGCCAAGGGAGTGACGGGAAAACACTACTTAATGCAGAGCAAATGGATGGAGTATGTTTGTATGAACCATTACTAATAAAACCCTTGGCAGCAGAATTATAAAGAACAATATTTTTACATGAAGTCAGAAGTGCCCTGGAAATTCCTGTAAGTGAAAAGCATCTGTTTTGGAGTGAGGCGCAACATGAGAGGTCACTGCTAATGTCAAGGAGAAAATTAGGGAGTAGAAATCCCTTGCTCGAGGGCCAGAGCGATGGGGCATTTGCCTTGCATGTGGCCAAAACAGGTTCAATCCCCGGCATCCCATATGGTCCCCCAAGCACCACCAGGAGTAATTCCTGAACGCAGAACCAGGAGTAACCTCTGAGAATCGCCAGGTGTCATCCAAAAAGTGAAAAAAAAAAAAATCCCTTGCTTGAGATACTGATTGCTAGTTTCCGTTCCTTCCCAATCAGATTCTGTGTCAGACAGTGTTTATTTAGTGCTATTACCATGGGAATGATGTATTACCAGTTTTTCAGGAACTAAGTGTATGGTAATTATAATTCTTGAAAGTTAAAGATATTTTTTTAACTGAAAAGTTTCTATGATTCTAAAACATGTTTACTTGGGCAGAACTTTGAATTGTATGGTAATCTGATTTTTAACTTCAAAACAACTTGTTGATTGGAGCCAGACCTAGTGGTGTTTGTGGAGACCACTCCCAGGAGTGTTCAGGGGACCTCGAGTGCCAAGTGGACCCTCGTGACCATGGAACTCAGAGCTTCCGTATGGAAAGCGTGGGTTCATCCCATTGAGTAGTCTCTCCAGCCCCTGAAACACTAATGTATTCCGTTTCAAACGCCAAAGTTGTCATGACACACTATTATTTTCTTATTTTCCAATTAGTGGCACCATGTCCTCACCTCTTGATTTCTTTCTGTCTTTGTTTTTTTTTCTTTTTATCAGTTTTTTCTTATCTACTCAATTCCTTCTACCTCTGTGTTTTATTTATTTATTTTTAAATTTAATTTTTTTTGGGGGGGGCCGCCACACCCAGCAATGCACAGCGGTTAGTCCTGACTCATGCACTCAGGAATTACTCCTCGCGATACTCAGGGGAACATATGGGATGCTGGGAATTGAACCCAGGTCGGCCACATGCAAGGCAAACACCTTACCCACTGTGTTATCACTTCAACCCCTACCTCCATGTTTTAAATCTACTTTTTCTTTTTTTTTCTTATTTCTGATTTTCTATTTATTTATTTTTGTTTTGTGTTCTTTTCCTGCTCTGATAGATTGCAAATACAGATTGTCAGTATTTTTAAAAACATTTTTCTTTTTTGCTTGGTGCCACACCCTGTGGCATTTAGGGACTATTCCTGGCTTTGCTCAGGGGTCACTCCTTGGTAGGGCTTGAGAAACCCTCTGTCATTGCTGGCCTTTAAACCAAGATGGGCTGGGGCTGGAGTGATAGCACAGCGGGTGGGTCGTTTGCCTTGCACGCGGCCGACCCAGGTTCGATTCCTGGCATTCCATATGCACCGCCAGGGGTAATTCCTGAGTGCAGAGCCAGGAGTAACCCCTGTGCATTGCCAGGTGTGACCCAAAAAGCAAAAAAAAAAAATCAAGATGGGCTACATAGAAGACAAGAGACTTAACCTCCATGCGTTCTCTCTGGCCCTTTTAATATTATAAAAATTTCTGTTTGAGGACTGGAGCCGTAATATAGCCAGTAGGGTGCTTGCCTTGCATGCTACCAACCCAGTCCAATCTCCATTATCCCACGTGGTCCCTTCAGCCCACCAGGAGTGATCCCTGTGCGTAGAGCCAGAAGTAAGCCCTGAGCTCTAGCAGGTGGGGCCCCGTAAAAAAATTTCTGTTTTCAGACCAAACCCAGCATCATTATCATTCTAGAGCTACTCCTTCCTGTCTCTGCTTTGCCTATTGAGCTCTCATTGGCCCATGCCTATTTTGAACACATAAAAGATAATAAATCTTTTATAGACAAGCCTATATAGACTTCAGTTTTAGTGCATTAATTTTAATACTTGTTAATTCACCCTCCTGCCCTTCAGTCAGCACAGTGTTTTGATACTTTCATACATCAGATTGCTTCCTTCCTAAAGATCTCAACAAGTGTTTCTTACTAAAGGACCAGTTCCCCTGCTCCCTTCCTGTTGTTGTCTGTGTTTTAGTGGACCAGAAGGCTCACACTTGGTTATGGTGCCCAGGGGGCCACACATACTTGTTTGCAGTATGCCACAGTCATGTGTGAGCACACACACAAATGTGGTATGCTGTGGATCAAACATACCATGCAGATACTTGGAGCCAATACATCATTGAACTTAGAAATACTTCATTTTCTATTTTAGATAAAATTTGCATGGAATGAAATGTACAGAGCTTCAGTGTGTTTATAATGACACGTGTGTAAATCAGGAGAGGCAAGTTAGCCGATCCTTTTCCCAATATGATGCCACGTCACATGAAATAGACAACCCTTGTCGCCATGTTGGAGTGAGCACCTGTTCCCCCATCTGCCATCCTGTAGCTGTCACATGCAGTACATATGCCATGTGTTATAAAAACTGCACTATACAAAAATTTACTTTTTGGGGCTGGAATAATGTACAGTGGGAAGGGCGTTTGCCTTGCACGTGGCTGACCGTGGTTTGATCCCCGGCACCCCATATGGTCCCCTGAGCACTGCTAGAAGTAACCTTAAGCATCACCAGGTATAGTCAAAAAAAACAAAACAACAACCAAAAAATGAACAGTTCTAGTTCTCAATTTTTGCAAGGTGTATATTTAAATTCTTTTCTCTCTTGACATCCAATATAGATTGTGGCCCAGAGCAATTTTTCAATACTTGCAATTGCATTGCTTTAGTTCTGATTCCATTTTTCTTTCTTTTTTTTTTCTTCATTTTTTGTAGTATTGGGGACTGTATTCAGATCTCAAGGATGTAAGGAACATGGTTTATTTACTACTGAACCCATTTCTGGCCCTAAGAAATTAAAACTTTTATTATTATTTTTAATTCTGTTTTCTTGCAAGAATACATAAAGGTGGTTTTACCATTTCAAATGCATTTGAAATGGCACATAAGATCTTTTGCATCTGGCCTAAGCTGATTTTAAACGTTCCTCAAATGTTGTCAGTCTTTGTTTGCCTTTACAGGATGTGCATTCTTTAATATCTTTTTCTGCATTGTTTTTCTGAATTTTCCTACTTGATAATCATATAATATCCATGTTATATGTTAAAATTATCCTGGAGAAAAAAAACTTCTTGAGGAGATTTTTGTTTCTGGTTCTTGGATCACACTGGCAATGCCAGGGACTGAACCTGGGTTTGCAGTGTGCAGAAAAGTACCTAGCTTGTTGCTAAGTACTTTTTCCTCCAGCTCTCTGAGTGAACTTTGAAGGGTAATATAAATCATCCTTCTACCAGTAAATATAGAGAAGGGATTATCAGCTTTCCAGAAGGAAAACATGGCAAATGAAAGTAAGAATGAAGATAGAGGGTTTGTTGAGTTTTGCGAATGTTAGTATTGTGTCAACCACACTCATTAAGTATCTAATTTTGTTCTTCCCCACACACCCCAGTATGGAGATCAAACCCTGGACCCAACCCCTATTTGACCTGTGAGAATGTTAACAGAATTTTGTACAAGGAAATCTCTCTATTGATGATTCTGTTAGGCTCTAAATGTTTTAAAGTGTTTTTATTTTGTCTTTAAAAGAAAATAAGATCTCATAACACATAATTGACGATTATGTGGGGGGAGGGAATTTCTAGCAGCACCCAGCTGACGAGGTGTGTTCTGAGCTTACAACAGCATGGTCCTTAGGTGGGACGGAAGGTGTAGACAGATTGAACCATAACTTCCTCTTGTGGGTTTCAGCAAAGCTCAGCTTACACGTGGGTAAGGCAGTATTTGATCAGGCTTTCAAAGAAAAAATCAAGAGCACAACTGTGATTTTCTGGTCTCAAAGACCTCAACCCCTTGAAGAAAGGTGGATTCAAACATGCCTGAGCTTTCATGGGAGGAGTCTACTTCTTAGGCAGCACCAAGCACAAGCAAAGCTTTGCATCCTTCCAAAAGCTTTTCTTCTCAAGCTCCTGAGATATGCTTCTTCATTCCTCTTACGTCGTGATGAATCGCTGTTCCTTTTTCTCTACTGAAACCTGAAATCCTGTGTTTCTTGGTATTAGTGTCTTAGGACTCCAGGCCATTCCTAGTTGTGCTCAGAGCTGGCTCCTGGCTTTGTTCTCAGGAATCAATGCTAGTGGTTCCTAGGGGAACTTGTGGGGTTCTGGGGTATTGTATGAAAAGCAGCTCATCACCTTACTACCCTCGCCGACTCACCAGTCCCTCAAGTATTACTTTATTCAACATACTTGTTTGAGTTTCCCCCCACCCCCTGCACATCACTACATATTAATATTTTCCCCTGACTCGCCTGTTCAGCACTGATATTTCTTGACTGCATCTGCTTTTATCTCACCAATCAAAGCTTTCACATTCAAAAATAGCCAAGAAATGGCATTCTCTTTTTATTTCACTATGTCTAGTCACTTCTGGGACTACCATTTGATAGGGTAACCAGAAATACTCTAAAATCACTCAATCCTATAAATTTCCAGATTGACTTATTTCCTGTGCATCTTGTGTCACTTGCCAAGGTGAGACTGCAATAGAATATGGAGGCTGGAGACAGTCCTTGACCTTAAGAAGATCATGTTCTATTACAGGAGTTAGACATACAGAAAATATAGTACGATTATTAGAATAATAAAAAATTACAGAATGTTATGATTTAGAGAGAAGAATCTTTGAGGGCCTTGATAAAGTTATATTTGAGTAGACTGATTACCCCACTCCTACATTTATCACTCAAAATGCTATTTATCCTTTAAAAGCATCTCAGAGGGATGGAGAGAGAATTCAACAGATGAACACATAGCTTTGCATGTGAGAGGTTCAGGTTCCATCACTGGTACCTCATGGTCCCCGGAGCAATATCAGAATGACTTCCAAACACTGTGCAAGCGGTTTCCCATGGTTTCTGCAGAGTGCA